ATCTCTCCAACCCCCTCACTCCCCATCTCTCCGACCCCCTCACTCCCCACCTGTCCAACCCCCTCACTCCCCACCTGTCCAACCCCCTCACTCCCCACCTCTCCAACCCCCTCACACCCCACCTCTCCAACCCCCTCACTCTCCACCTCTCCGACCCCCACACTCCCCACCTCTCCGAACCCACTCAGTCCCCAATTCACAACCCGGTCAGTGCCTCCGCTTGACTGGCACTGGCTCCTGCTCGTCCCTCGCACCCTCTGCACCGCCATCGAGATTGCGCTTTCAGCCACTGTGCCCCAAAACTCTGGACCCCTCTCCTTCAGTCCCTCTCCTTGCCCCCTCTCTCCCCTCTTTCAAGTATTGCCTGAAAACTTTCCTGGTCAACCGTGCTTACGGTCCCCTCCCTCCCCCCGGCTCGGAGTCAGGTTCCTTCACTGTTAAATGCTCTGAGATGCTGCCCTGTGTGGAGGGCGCTATATAAGTGCAAGTTGTTGTTGTTGAGGGTCCTGTGTACAGTGTGGGTTTGAGCTTTGTCATCATTACAGCTCAGGACTCGCAGCTGAAATTCACGATATGATGAGTTTCCAAAGAGTTTTGTGTACTTTCCTGCGGCTTGTCCTCACGGAATGATTCACATTCCTACCTCATTCCTGAACCATGACAGAGTGAGTGGGTGAGCCAGCGAGTGAGAATGCGAGTGTGTGAGTGAATGACTGAACGAGTAAGCAAGAGACTGAGTGAGTGTGCGAGTGAGTGAGCAAGTGACTGAGTGGATGTCCGAGTGAGTGAGCGAGCAACTGAGTGGGTGTGCAAGTGAGTGAGCTAGAGACTGAGTGAGTGTGCGAGTGAGTGAGCGAGCGACTGAATGAGTGTGCGAGTGAGTGAGCGAGTGTGTGAATAAGTGAGTGAACGAGGCCGTTGTGTAATCTGGGCATCGGTCCCCTCTCCCCTCACGTTTGCTGCTCACTTCGGGCTGTGGTTTCGGAAAGTTTTAAGGTTAGAACTAATCAGCGCAGCCACACAGTGCACAAACACCGGAGAGGACTCAGCTTCTGCTGAAGGCAATCCGCAAATCATTCACTTCAAACTCTTAAATCTGATCAACGTTAAGTGCTTGTGTTCCAGGAGAGAGAGAGAGAGAGAGAGAGGAAAAGATACAGAGAACCGGAGAGACAAAGGGAGAGACAGAGAGAGAGAGCGACAGAAAGAGATTGACAGCTAATAATAATAATAATCTTCACATTTCACGCAGCGCCTCATCACGTCGTTGAGACGTCTCAAAGCGCTTCACGGAATATATTGTAAAGTGAATCGACTGTCTATTTTGTGGGCGAAATGCAGCAGCAAATTACGCAGAGCAGCGTCTCACACACAGCCGTGGGTTGAGTTGTGCTTTGTGAGTGTTTGTGAGTGTGTGTAATGGTGTATAAGTGTTTGGGAATGTGTGTGTTTGTGAGTATTTGGGAGAGCGTGTGTGTGTGTGTTTGTGAGTGTATGTGTGTGTGTGTGTGTGTGAGTGTGTATGTGTGTGTGAGTGTGTATGTGTGTGTGAGTGTGTATGTGTGTGTGAGTGTGTGTATGTGTGTGTGTGTGTGTGTGAGTGTGTATGTGTGTGTGAGTGTGTATGTGTGTGTGAGTGTGTGTGTGAGTGTGTATGTGTGTGTGAGTGTGTGTGTGAGTGTGTGAGTGTGTGTATGTGTGTGTGTGTGAGTGAGGAAGGCTATGACATACGGACCTGTGAGACCAATGTTTTTAGTGAATGATAATTTTATTCCTCGAGTTCCTATTCCAGTTTCCTGTGTGGGAGTGAACTGTCTGATTGGGAATCGCTGTGCGGGCGGGTGGCGGGTGGCGGGTGGCGGGTGGCGCTCCGGGCTCAGCTGTAGGCTTCTCCGTGCTGTGGGGGGCTTGGCTGGGCTGTGGCCCCCCCACCATCACCGGCCACAGTTCCCACTGAAACATCAAACACAGTGACTCAACAACAGCAGCAACAACGCACCATCACATCACCTGCTCTCCACACCCCCCAGTGAGAAGGGCGCTGTATAAATGCAAGTTGTTGATGTTGTTGTTTGTGGCCTCGTGCGGTGTGCATAACAGCTGCCGTGTTTGTCTGCAAAAGGGCTGCTCTCCGCTCTCTCCCTCTGTCTCTATCACTCTCTTTCTCTCACCTCTCACCCTCTCCCTTTCTCTCTATCCCTCTCTTGCTCTCTCGTGACATCTCTCGCCCTCTGTCTCTCTGTCCCTGTGTGTGTGTATATGTGTGTGTATATTTGTGTGTGTGTATGTATGTATAAGTGTGTGTATATGTATATGTGTGTGTGTATATGTATATGTGTGTATGTATGTGTCTATGTGTGTGTATGTGTGTGTGTGTGTGTGTATGTGCGCGTGGAGTCCTGTAGCTCAGTGGTTAGAGCACTCGCTTTGCAAGTGAGAGACCTGAGTTCAATTCCAGGCAGAGGGCCAAACCTCGGGCAAGTTTCCTTACTCCACACAGAGCCTAATAATAATACCTCCAAAACCAAAACAATAATAAATTGGTCAGTTTCAATCCCCGACTGTTTGTGGGACATTGCTGTGCGCAATTGGCTGCCGCGTTCGCCCACAAATATACAGTCAATTCACTTTACAGTGTGTTCTGTGAAGCGCTTTGGGACGTCCTCCCGACGTGAAAAGCGCTATATCAAATGCGAGGATTATTATTATTATTATAAAGGAGTGACTGTATATTTTGTGGGCGAAACGAGACAGAGAGAGAGTGTGGCATTCAGGGAGAGAGACAGAAGCAGAGAGAGAGAGAGAGGGAGAGAACAGTCATGGGATATATGTGTGTATGTATATAAATGTATGTGTGTGTATGTGTGTGTATATGTGTATATTGTGTGTGTATGTGTGTGTGCGTGTGTGTGTGTTGGGGTTATATGACCCTCGCCTGGCAGCGCTGTCTGTGTTGTAGAACGAACAGACCTAAAAATACAACCTTTCCCATGTGGAGGCCTGGACCAGACCTGGGCTGGGGTTTACCTGTGTAGGTCCGGAGCGTGGGGATGTAGTCGGCCCAGAAGGAGCAGGCCTCCCTCCTCAGGCCCCTGTGACTCTCCAGGCCACACGTTAGCTCTATGTAGCTGCCAGCCCGGGGGCCGCTGGTGGTAACTGGGGGCCAGGCTGGCAGGGAGCCGGGGGCACATGGACCAGACACCCCTCCCACAGGGTTAGGGTTCCTGTGTGAGGAGAGAACAGCCAATGTCATCACAACCACAGGAGCTTCATGTTCCAACCAACCATCCAACCCTTCCTCCCTCCCTCCCTACCACATTCCCTTCATCCTCCCTTCCCTCTCTCCCTCTTATCCTCCTACCACACTCCTACCTTCCCTACGCTCTCCATGTCCCTCCATTTTTCCCTTGAACTCACTCTCCCAGCTCTAACTTCTCCTCCTGAGCCTCTCTTGCTCATTCCTTCATATCCTTCCTTCTCCCCCACCGTTACTCTCTCTCTATCCTCCCCACTCTCCCTCTCTCTTTCCCTCTCGCTCGCAAGTGAACTGTTAACCCTCTCAGTGCCAGGGCTCCACACACACACAACAACAACAAAATTACATTTGTAAAGCGCCTTTCATGTCGGGAGGACGTCCCAAGGCGCTGGACAGTCAGAGCTTCGGACCTGAGCTGAGGGTCGGGGGGCGGGAGGGCAGGGGGGGGAAACAGGGAGATCAAAAGCATGGTCGAAGAAGAGGGTCTTGAGATGGGTCTTGAAGGTGGTGAGGGAGGGGGTGAGGCAGAAGGCCCAGCTGCCAATAGTGGGGAACATGAAGCAGGCCGGAGCCCGCTGAGCGGAGGGAGCGAGCAGGATGGGAGGGGGTTAGGAGGTGGCAGAGGGAGCAAGAACATGGAGGGCTTTGAAGTTGAGGACCAGGATCTTGAACTGTGTGATGGGAAGCCAGTGGAGTCGGGCGAGGATGGGGGTGAATAGGGTCACGGAGCCGGTATGGGAGAGGACACGGGTTGCAGAGTTCTGGATGATCTGCCGCCTGTGGAGGGAGGAGTTGGGGGCCGACAACAGTGAGTTTGCATAGTCGAGCCTCGATATAATGAAGGTGTGTGTGGGGGTCTCGGGGCTGCGGTGTGAGACAGTGGCGGAGTCGGGGGATGTTGCGGAGGTGGGAAGGCAGAGCGGGTCATGGCGCAGATGTGGGGTAGAAAGGATAGTTGAGGGTCAAACAAGACCCCAAGGTTTGGGACTGGCTCAGTGAGGGGAGTGAGCCCAGGGATGGTGATGCTGTCAGCGCCTGAGGTGAGGAGGCTAACGGGAGTCAATCAGGAGCCTCGGTCTTGTTGACGTTCAACTGAAGAAAGTTCACTCTCATCCAGGACTTCACGTCTGACAGACATTCTGTCAGGAGGGCAGTGGGTCCTGGAGTCGAGGGTGGAGGCAGAGAGAGAGAGTTGGATGTCATCCACATACATGTGGGTTGACCCCATGTCACTAAAAGGGAGTATATAGATGTTGAAGAGGAGGGGACCAAGGACAGAGCCCTGAGGAACGCCACACAAGACGGTGCGGGCTGGAGGAGAAGCGTTTTGTGGAGGTGAAGTGAAGAGATGGGTCCAGGGAAGGTTTTTTTAAGGATAGGAGTGATGACGGTGGTTTTTAATGGAGTGGGAACAGTACCAGTGGATAGGGAGAGGTTTATGATGTCTGTGAGTAGAGGGGCAAGCAGGTGGAGCTGGGAGGTAAGGAGAGGGGTAGGGACGGGGTCGAGGGAGCAGGTGGTTGGTTTCATATAGGTTATAGTGGTGATGAAAGAGGAGGGGAAGACACTCACACACAAACACACACAGCCACTATGTTGGGCTCCTCATCCAGGAGACATCTCAGAGAGTGACACAGTGACTGCTGCCCTTAGCCTGTTCACATCGTTGAGACGCCTCAAAGCGCTTCACAGGCTGCAGTGTAAAGTGTAGTGACTGTGTTTTGTGATTGCGTTGTACAGAAATTGGCGGAAGGTTCTGGGGAGATGGAGAGTAAGAGCGCGATCTACCGGGTTCTGCAGGACTTCCTGGGCCAACAGACTTCAGACCCACTCGTAAAGGATGCCGTCTCCTGGTTTTACTCTCTACAGCGACCGCTCGACTACACCTCACTCGCACAGGCTCTGGGCAACGCCACCCGGTCAGTCACTACACCACTACACTACACCATGACACAGTCACTACACCATTACAGACACTACACTATCACAATCACTACTTGATTATTGATAATTATCTCGATCAGTTTGCCAAGGAACAGAACCAGAACAAGAACAAGAACCAGGGAACAGGCCATATTAGACCTTGTTTTGTGTAATGAAGCAGAG